TCTCACCCTCTCTCCTGCACTGGATCTTTGTGTCTTCCGTCTTGTGTCTTTCTCTTTATAAGGTTGTTTCGTTTGGGGTGGAGGGCACATGGTCTCGTCAATTTGAGAAAGGCTGCATGAGAGGTCAATTTTTTGAGAGCCTGTAATACCAAAAGTGTTCTTACTTCACCCCCACACCTGATTTATGATTTGACAGGGTGTAGAATTCTAGGTTGGAAATTATTTTCACTCATGCTTGGAGGCATTTCTCATAATACACCTTCTGGTGTTGCTGATAAGGCATTCCAAGCCATTCTGACTCCTAATTCACTTATATGTGATTTTTTTTCTCTCCCAGGAAACTTTTGGGAACTTCCTTTTATCCTGAGTGCGTTAAGAAATCCGATGATGTGGGTTGATGTGAGTCTTTTTAAATTTGTTTTGCTGAGTGCTGTATGAGCCTTTTCAATCTGGAAACTCATGTCTTTTAGTTCTAGAAAACATTCTTTTATTACATGTGGGATAATGTCCTCCATTCCATTTTTTTCCTGGGACTTTTTATTTATTTATTTATTTATTTATTTACTTACTTACTTACTTACTTACTTACTTACTTACTGAGGAAGATTCGCCCTGAGCTGACATTGTTGCCAATCTTCCTCTTTTTTTTTGTTCTTGAAGAAGATTATCCCTGAGCTAACATCTGTGTTAATCTTCTTTTACTTTGTATGTGAGATGCTGCCACAGCATGGCTGACGAGTGGTGTAGGTCCGAATCCGGGATCCAAACCCAAGAACCTGGGCTACTGAAGCAGAGCATACCAAATTTAACCACTACGCCACAGGGCTGGCCCCTGGGGACTTTTTATTTAGGTGTTAGATGTCTTGGACTGACCTTCTAATTTTCTTACCCCTTTTCTCCTATTTTCCATCTATGTTTTTTGTTGTGAAGTTTCCTCAACATTTTCCAATTTTTATTTCTGCTAGCATATTTATAATTTCTCAGAATTCTTTTTTGTTTTCTTGTTGTTCCCCCTTTTCATAACACTTTGTTCTTTTTTTTATGGATGTGATAGGGCTTGTGGAGATATGATAGGTTTTTTTGGTTGTTTTTTTTTTAAGATTTTCTTATACTTGTGTTAGAAACTGTGTGCAAGATTTGCAAGTGGGTTATGTTGTTCTAGTTGGATCATTTCTTTGGGAGATCCCCAGCTGCTAACATCTTCCAGGCATTTTGGGGGGGCTAGTTTCCCCAGAGAGGAATTCTCCACTCTTCAGGATGGGATACAGGAGGTGCAGTATAATTACAAACTTGGAACTAACTTGGAGCCAAGTAGGCTTCATAGGGTACATAGACTTATACTTGATCCCCCTATTTTTATTACAGCACCCTTGTTTATGGCCATGCCTGATGTCCTCAAATCCAGAGGCTTCCTGTTCAGCGGTTCTCACAAGCGCTGCATATTGGAAGCACCTGGGAAGCTTTAAAAAAGACTGAAGACTGGGTGGATGCCACTCCTGGAGTTTCTGATTTAATACATCTGGGTGTGGCCTGGACATCAAGCTTTTTGGAATCTCTCCAGGTGATTCCAATATGCAGCCACGGTTGAGAAACATGGCTGTAGTTGAACATCTCCAGAGGGTTAGCCTCCATTCTTCTGCCAGGGTGAGCTGCTTGGTATTCACCCTTCAGGCCCTGTCTGCATTTTGTTTTCAGTAGTGTCTATTACCTACATATTCTGATTCTTTCTGGGCTTCTGTGTCGTGAATAATCTGACTTTGGGCTTCTGATTTAGACCTCTGATTTCCTGGTCTGCTAGGTCAACTACCTCTTGTCCATAGGAATTTCATTTTCCGAAAATGTGTTGCTGTTATTTCCTCTCCTATTTTCCTTGTTCTTGTTCATTTGTGCCTTTTTCTCCTTTATTATCATTATATTATTATTATTATAGTGCACTTTGGGGAAGTAGCAGAGGGAAATATATTCAGCTGGAATTCCTCAATCCTACTCCCCATCATCAATAATATTGTAAAATGTCAGCTGGTGGCTTGCCAAGTCTTCCAGATTAGCAAAAATTGGGCCTGTAGAATGTCAGTTTTCCCCAGGATTCTGCAAATTTCTGAACTGCTCATGTTTTCAAGGCCATTCTAGATTTGTGACTTCTGGCTCCTTGGTCAACTAGATCAACCTAAGTTCTTTCTTTAGATCAGAAATGTTTTCTTCCATTATTTCCTTATTTCTTCTCCTTCTGCATCTCTTTCTTTTATTCTTTCTTTTGGTAACTCTGATTGTAGGGTGTGTAGCTAAGGGATTTGTCTTCCATATACCTTTTCTACAAGGTTTTTTTAAAAAATCATTTTTTATCTTTTTCCTCTTTCTATTGGGAGAAATCATAGTTTATATTCCCTAATTCAACAATCCCCATGTACAGTCTGCCATTCACTTCCCCCTTTATGGTTTTTAACTCCAAAACCAAGATTGCTCATCTCCATTCAATCCTTTGCTGCTCGTTTTCTGTGACAACTTTGATCAAGTTAGCTATAGAATCCACTTCAGTCTTGCTGAGAACATGAAATAGACATAGGTTCTCATTTTTTGTTGTTTCTGAGGAATTAATTTATTTCTTAAGGAGAAAGCAACTCTGAGTCTCCACATAATTATGATTCACTTTTTGAATTACAACATCTTTTTTCATTTATTCCCCCATACAGGGAGAGAGAGCTATTTGACTCTTTTTTTCACCAAAAAATTTCTGGTCTTTTAATGGTGTCTTACCCTTTTTTTCTCTTTGTACTTTTTCTTCTTTGTTTACTTTAAGGAACATCTATTTTTGCTCTTCTGGTTTCAAAGGTAACACATTTGTTTTAAACAATTTGGGAATTATAGAAAAGCACAAAAAAGAAAATTAAAATTGGGCTGGCCCTGTGGCTTAGCAGTTAAGTGCGCACTCCGCTGCTGGCGGCCCAGGTTTGGATCCCGGGTGCGCACCGACGCACCGCTTCTCTGGCCATGCTGAGGCCGCGTCCCACATACAGCAACTAGAAGGATGTGCACCTATGACATACAACTATCTACTGGGACTTTGGGGGAAAAATAAATAAATAAAATTATTTAAAAAAAAATTAAAATTACCTTAACCCCATGACTCAATGATATTTTATTCCCTTCTAGTTTTTCTGAGTTTATATGTAATTATCCTGATTTTTAAAAAATTTTTAGTTGTTACTATTTTTATTTGGTGACTATATAATACATTCACATGGTTCAAAAATTATGTATGTATACATTTATGTATATGTATGTATATGAAGAAGATTCCTTTCAATATCTTTTTGTATAGCTTCCATCAGTAACCACCCCAACCCCACCCCAGGTAACCACTGTTATTAGGTGCTTGTATATCCTTCTGAAGTTTATACATATGCTAACATTCTTATTACCCTTCCTTTTTATACAAATAGTTTTAGAACAAAATAGTACTAAGCACACTGTTTTGCCCTTTGCATTTTTCACCTCCTAATGTACTTGAACATCTTATTCAATACATAGAAAATTTCCCTATTCTTTTTTTTAGCTGCATAATATTCCATTGTGTATAGATGTAGCATAATTTATTTAATTTATCACCTACTGATAATTTACATAGTCAACTTTTGCCATTACATGCAGTGTTAAATACACTAATACTGAATTCAATAGTGCTTTTCTCTTAGTCTAATTATTGTTTCAAATGCTCAAACAGACATCATAGGCTATTTTTTAATTTTTATTTTAAACATTTTTATTGAGATTCAATTATCATATAATAAACTGCACATATTTAAGCTGTACTAAATTTGATAATTTTGACATGTACATACCTGTAAACCATGAACCATCACTACATTCACAAGATAATGAAAGTATCTGTCACCTCTAAATATTTTCTGGTGCCCTTTTGTAAGTTCCCTTCTCAATTCTCCCCATCCCCATCCCTCAAGAAACCACTGACATGCTTTCTATTATTATAAATTAATTTGAATTTTCTAGACCTTAATATACATGGAATCATACAGTATGTACTCTTTTTTTGTCTGGCTTCCTTCACTCAGCATAATTATTCTGAGAGTCATCCATGCTGTAGCAGGTATCTTTTTTGTTGTTGTTGCTGAGTAGGATTTTTTGTTTATTTTTGTTTATCCGTTCACCTATTGATGGACATTTAGGTTGTATCCAGTTTTGGGGTATTACAAATAAAGCTGCTATAAGCATTCATGTACAAGTCTTTTTATGGATATATGCTTTCATTTTTCATGGGTAAATACCCAGGAATGAAATTACTGGATCATATGGTAGGTGTCTGTTTAACACTTTAAGAAATTGCCAAACTATTTTCTCAAGTATCTGACCATTTTACATTTCTATTGGCACCGTATGAGAGTTCAAGTTGCTCCATATCCTTGCCAACGTGTGGTATTGTCAGCCTTTTTTTTTTTTTTTTTTTGGTGAGGAAGATCAGCCCTGAGCTATCATCCATGCCAATCCTCCTCTTTTTTTGGCTGAGGAAGACTGGCTCTGGGCTAACATCCGTGCCCGGCTTCCTCCACTTTATATGGGATGCCACCACAGCATGACCTGACAAGCGGTGCGTCGGTGCGTGCCCAGATCGGAACCGGTGAACCCTGGGCTGCCACAGCAGAGCGCCTGCACTTAACCGCTTGCGCCACCGGGCCGGCCCGATGATCCATTTTTTAATGCCAGCTTTATTGAGATGTATTTCACATATCATAAAATTCACTCTTTTAAAGTATACAGTCCAATGGTCTTAAGTATGTTCACAGAGTTGTGCGATCTTCACCACTATCTAATTTTAGAACACTTTCATCATCCCAGAAAGAAACTTCATATCCATTAGCAGTCACTACCCATTCCTTCCTCGCCTCAGCTCCTGGATTTGCCTGTTGCGGACATTTCATATAAATGGAATCATACAATATGTGGCCTTTTGTGTCTGGCTTCTTTCACGCAGGTTCATCCATGTTTTGAAGGTTCACCCATGTTGTATCATGTATCAGTGCTTCATTCCCTTCTATGACTGAATAATAATCCATCGTATGGCTACACCACATTTTGTTGATCCATCGGTTGATGGGCATATGACTTGTTTCTCTTTTTTGGCTCTCATGACTAATACTTCTGTGTACATCTGTGTACAAGTTTTTCTGTGGGTGTGTATTTTCAGTTCTCAATCCTGTAATTGGAATTGCTGGATCTTATGCTAACTTGTTTTCCAAAGCAGCTGTATCATTTTATATTCTCACCAAAAGTGTATGAGAGTTCCAGTTTCTCTACATTCTCCCCAACGCTTGTTATTGTCCATCTTTCTGTTTACAGCTATCCTGATGGATGTGAAGTGGTGTTTCATTGTGGTTTGGATTTTCATTTTCCTAATGTCCAATGATAATAAGCATCTTTTTATGTGCTTATTGGCCATTTGCATATATTTTTTGAAGAATGTCTCTTCAAATCCTCTGTTCATTTTTCATTAGGGCTATTTGTCTTTTTATTGTTGATTTGTAAGAGTTCTTTATATAGTCTGGATACAAGTCCCTTATCAGATATATGATTTGCAAATATTTTCTCCCATTCTGTGGGGTGTCTTTTTACTTCCTCTATGGTGTCCTTTGAAGCACAAAAGTTTGTAACTTTGATGATGTCCAATTTATTTTATTCTTTTGTAGTTGTGTTTTGTGTCACATCTAAGAAAACATTGCCTAATATAAGGTCATAAAGATCTATTATTACATTTTCTTCCAAGGATTTTATCATTTTAGCTCTTACATTTAGGTCTATGATACATTTTGAGTTAATTTTTGCGTATGGCGAGAGGTCAGAGTCCAGCTTCATTCTTTTGCATGTGGATGTTCACTTGTCCTCACACCATTTGTTGAAAGACTACTCTCCCCATTGAAACTTGGCACCTTCTCCAAAATCAATTGACCATAAAAGTAAGGGTTTATATCTTGATTCTTAATTCTATTCCATTGATATATATGCTTATCCTTAAGCCAGTACCACACTGCATCTTTATAGTAAGTTTTGAAATTGGGAAGTGTGAGTCTTCCAACTTTGTATTTCCATGTGAACTTTAGCATTAGCTGCTCCATTTCTGAAAAAAAGGAAGCTGGGATTTTGAAAGGGATTACATTGAATCTGTAGATCTCTTTTGGTAGTATTGCCATCTTAATAATATTAAATCTTCCAGTCCATAAGCAAGGAATATCTTTCCATTTAATTATACTTCAGTTTCTTTCAACAGTGTTTTGTAGTTTTCAGTGTACAAGTTTTGTGCATCCTTGCTTAAATTTATTCCTGAGTATTTTATTCTTTTTGGTGCTATTGTAAATTGAATTGCTTTTTTAATGTGATTTTTGGTTGTTTGTTACTAGTGTATAGAACCACCATAGATTTTTATATATTGACCTCATATTCTGCAGTATTCTTGAGGCGCTTTGGGAGTTTTTGTCTTTCTTGGAATTTGTCTATTTTATCTATGTTGTGAAATTTATCAACATAAAGTTACTCATAACATTCTCTTATTATCCTTCTTAATATCCATAGGATCTAGAATAACGTCATTTCTCTCACTCCTGATATTGGTAATTTCCGTCTTCTCTTTTATTTTTCCTGATCAGTATGGCTAGAAATTTATTAATTTTATTGATCTGAAAATATCAGCTTTTGGATTCACTGATTTTTCTGTATTGTTTTTCAGTTTTCTATTTCATTGATTTCTGTTCTAATCTTTATTATTTTCTTTCTTCTGCTTACTTCTTCGTGTTTCATTTGCTCTTCTTTTTCTAGTTTCCTAAGGTAATAGCTGAAGTTATTGAGTTGAGATCTTTCTGTCCTAATATAGGCATTAGTGTTACAAATTTACATTTAAATACTGCATTAGCTGCATTCAACAAATTTTTATACACTGTGTTTTCATTTTCATTCAGTTCAAAATTCTTTCTAATTTCCTTTTTGGTTTTTGCTTTCACCCATGAGTTACTGAGAAGTGTGTTATTTGGTTCCCAAATATTTGGGGATTTTTCAGATCTGTTTCTGTTACTGATTTCCAATTTAATTCCATTTTGGCCAGGGATATTTTGTATGATTTTAATCCATTTAAGTTTGTTGAGATTTGTTTTATGACTGAGACTATGATTTATCCTGGTAAATGTTCTGAGTGCACTTGAAAAGAATGTGTATTCTGCTATTATGTGGGATGCTCTATAATTGTCAATTAGGTCAAGTTTCTTAAAATGTTGTCCAAGTCTGCTATGCCCTTATTTTCTGTCTAGTTATTCTATTAATTATTGAAAGAGGAATACTGAAATATCTGCCTATAATTGTGGATTTGTCTGTTTCTCCTTATGGTTCTATCAGTTGCACTTCATGTATTTTGAAGCTTTCTTATTTGGTGAACAAATGTTTAGGATTGTTATATCCTTTTGATAATTGACTCCTTTGTCATTATGAAATTACCCTCTTTTTTTTGTTTTTTTTTGGTGAGGAAGGTGGGCCCTGAGCTAACATCTGTTGCCAATCTTCCTCTTTTTGCTTGAGGAAGATTGGCCCTGAGCTAACATCCATGCCCATCCTCTATTTTGTATGTGGGACACCACCACAGCATGGCTTGATGAGCGGTGTGTAGGTCCACGCCCAGGATCTGAACCCACAAACCCGGGGCCGCCAAAGTGGAGCATGCAAATTTAACCACTACACCACCAAGTCAGCCCCATGAAATTGCTCTCTTTATCCCTTGTAGTAGACATCTCTCTCTGTCTGATATTAAAGAGCCACTCCAGCTTTCTTTTGATTAGTGTTAGCCTGGTATATCTTTTTCCATCCATATATTTATAACCTATTTGTATTTTATATTTAAAATGGATTTTTCTTACCACATACTTGGTTCTTGCTTATTTATTCAATCTTATAATCAGTATTTTTGAATGGGGTGTTTAGACCCCTTTACATTTTTTTTATAATTTTATTTATTTCCACCCCCAAAGCCCCAGTAGATAGTTATATGTCATAGCTGCACATCCTTCTAGTTGCTGTATGTGAGACACGGCCTCAGCATGGCCAGAGAAGCGGTGCGTCAGTGCACGCCCGGGATCCGAACCCGGGCCGCCAGCAGTGGAGCGCGCGCACTTAACCGCTAAGCCACGGGGCCAGCCCATAGACCATTTACATTTAATGTGATTATTGATATGGATAAGTTTAAATCATCTGTTCTTTGTTCCCCCTTTTCCTTTTTTCCTGCTTTTAGATGAAATGAATATTTTTATTATTCCATTTCATCTCTTCTGTTGACTTGCTAGCTATGGCTCTTAATTACATGAATATTATTTTAGTTGTTGCTTTAGGGTTTATCATATGCATCTTTAACTTACTACAGCCTATTTTCAAGTGATATTCCACTTCACATGTAGTTAGTATAAGAATCTTACAACATTATACTTCTATTTCTACCCTCCTGGTCTTTGTGCTATTTTTGTCGTATAATTTACTTCTACTTATTTCGTGTACCCACAATACATTGTTATTATTTTTGCTTTAAACATTATTTTTAATAGATTTAAATAATAAGAAACAAAGTCTTTATATTTACCCACATAGTTACCATTTCTCATGCTCTTCATTTCTTTCTGTAGATCCAGATTTGCATCTGGCATCATTTCTCTCTGCATGAAGGACTTCCTTGAGCATTTCCTATAGTGTGGGCCTGCTGGTGATGAATTCTTTCAGTTTTTGTATGACTACAAATGTTTTTAACTTGCCTTTTTTAAAGATTTTTTGCAAGGTATAGAATTCTAGGTTGGTTTTTTTTTTTTCTTTTAGCACTCTAAAGGTGTTACCCTGTCTTCTCACATGCATTTTTTCCAACCAAAAAATCTGTTATTATCCTTATATTTGTTCTTCCATATGTAAAGTGTACTTTCCTCCCTCTTATTGCTTTTTTATTTTTTTGTAACAGCTTTATTGAGATATAATTCACATACCATACAATTCATACATTTAAAGTATACAATTCAATGGTTTTTAATATATTCAGAGTTGTGCAACCATCGCCACAATCGATTTTACAACATTTTCATCACCCCTGAAAGAACCCAGACCCTTTAGCTATTACCTCCTGCCCAATATCCTCGTCTTCCCCAACCCTAGTCTACTTTCTGTCTTGACAGATTTGCCTATTCTGGATATTTCATATAAAGGGAATCATATAATATGTGTTTTTTTGGTGATTGACTTCTTTCACTTAACATGTTTTCAAGGTTCATCCATGTTTAGCATGTATCAGTATTTAATTTTCTTTTTATGGCCAAGTAATAGTCCATTGTATGTATATACCACATTTTGCTTATCCATTCCTCAGTTGATGGATGTTTGGATTGTTTCAACCTTTTGGCTATTGTCAGTAATGCTGGTATGAACACACATTTACAAGTTTTTATGTGAACACATATTTTAATTTCTCTTGGATATATACCTAAGATCAGAATTGTCAGGTCAAATGGTAACTGTATGTTTAACTTTTTGAGGAACTGCCAGACTGTTTTCCAAAGAGGCTGCACCATTTTACATTCCCACCAGCAGTGTCTGAGGGTTCCAATTTCTCCACATCTTTGCCAACACATGATATTATCTGGTTTTTTTTTTATTATAGCCATCCTAGCGAATGGGAAGTGACCCCTGACTGCTTTTAATACTTTCTCTTTATCATTGGTTTTGATTAATTTGATTATGATATTCTTTGGTGTAGTTTTCTTTATGTTTCTTGTGGTTGGTGCTTGTTTAGCTTTTTGGATCTGTGTGTTTATAGTTTTCATCTATTTGGAAAAATTTCAGCTGTGATTTCTTAAAATATTTTTTCTATCCCTCATCTTTCAGGGTCTCCAATTATATGCATATTAGGCCATTTGAAGTTGTCCCATAGCTCACTAATGCTCTGTTTATTTCTTTCAATCTTTTTTTCTCTATGTTTCATTTTGGATTATTGCTATGTCTTCAGGTTCACTAATATTCTATTTTATAAATATAATCTACTTTTAATCCTATGCAGT